CCAGCTTTGGCTGGTTTCATATATGCTCGCCAGGCAGTTCTCCGTAACTATATATGTGCATAGTCAAAAGAGAACCGCCCGACAAACCGTGGGCAGGAGAGGGAGAGAGGACAAGAAACCGGGGGCTGTAACTACAGTGTTTCGTCGAACTTCCACCTACTCATCACGGAGGCTGAACCCTCAACAACGTACAGGGTTCCCTAACAGATGATCCTGTAGGTGACAAAATCCACTTCGACCCCAGGTGTGTGCAACAACACCTGTCCACAATGGATGCCCGAGGCGGGCACCATCCACTGCACTCTTCGGTAACCGTGGTGCAAAACAAAGCAGAAAATATCATTACATCGTAATACACGTATTTGTGTATATATATCGTCACATAGATACATTTAGCTTATATCGTCACACCACCACGAGCTAAGAGCATATTTACGACACAAACACAAAATGGCATAAGAAACAGAACAGAAGGCAGCGCACCCTCATTGTTTTCACTCTTTTTATGACGTCCAACCGGCGAAAGAGGGTGCCCCGACGTCCATGTCTTGCTTTTACTGGGCGAGACATAGCGATGAAGAAGCAAGACATGGACGTCAAACTGGCGAAAGGCACCCCATCGTAATTAAAAGGAAGCAACACGCAACGATCAGCGGTAATAACAACTCGAAAGGAAGGAGAGGGACATAAAGACGAACGAAAGAGCCACAGAAGAAGATCACTGGAGGAGCGAGAACATGAAGATGAAAGGAGCGAGAGAGAAAGAATATAAAGCAGGACGTGGCGATAAGAGGAACAAGGTTTGGAGACGGAGGAGAGGAGGGGAGAGAGAGGGCGAGAACGGACGAGCAAGATAGAGAAGAATGATGAAGGGCGATCGTAAAAGCACGGCATGGAGATAAATGCCAAACAACTAGTCACATGGAACAGCTTGACTGCGTGACTCGTTCACTAATGATTTGATCGACTTATTGATAAACTGATTAACTGATTAATTGATTGATCGATTGATTGACTGATTGATTGATCGATTGATCGATTGATTGATCGATTGATCGATTGATCGATTGATTGATCGAGATTGATTGATCGATCGACTACATATTAATTGACGTGGTGACAAGATGATAGATTGTGGAAAATACGATAGGCAATAGTGTGGAACGGGCGTATTGATCGGGGTGGGAGTGAGGGTTGGACAAACCCTCCATGGAGCGATTTATTCTTCAATAACTTCTTATTTGATTAATCTGACTATACGCGATATATGATGAGTATAGTACTTCCACCGTAAGCATGTATAAATCGGGCAGGGAGGATCCGTAGATGTTGCTAATGTTTCGTTGAGGAGCACGCTCATCAACCGGAATCCCAATAGCAGAGTGTTGAGCAAAAGGGGAGCGGTTGCACAATCGATGCGCTCGAATAGGAATTTTCATCACCCGGGATTCCAATAGCAGAAACAAAAGGGGGAATCAATCTGTGAGAACAAACCGGGTGTTCTGTTCGGCGAAGACGGTAGTCGGGGCGTGGATCACGGCTGATTTTTTTTTATGCCATGTGGGGCCTTACGGAACACATCTTCCACAGTCCCATTCTGTTACGGCAGTGTTTGGGACCATTACGTACACACGCATGGCACGAGGTCAAACAATCCCGTGGCAGTGTCAATGTATCGCACACAGTGCGCCGAGCCCGATTCCTAACACTGAACTATCTTCCACCTTCCCACCATGTGACCGCAACGGCTTGTATGTGGATCTCTTGTGTCATCTTCGAGCAGTTTCATATGCAGGACATGAAACTGCCATGATATACACACGTGTCGTTATGATATAGTAATAACAATACCATAGCAATCTCATTACACCGCACACATTGTGTCCAACCCGATTCCTAACAGTTTCCTAACCTATCGACAGACAAGGAGGGACCTGCCTTCCATACCTTCATTCATGGACTGACGAGTTGCATCTGGCGAACGAGAATACGCTACTGCAGGCGGTTATTTACAACAGCACCCCAGCAAGGAGCACGCGTAAGAGAAAGAAAACAGAAGAACAGAAAACAGAAGGAACATAGAGTACGACTGCAAGTGAATGATGCTGTTCCGAAAGATAAGGAAAAGCGGGGGGCTACATTTTCCATTTAAAAAATGCTTATTTCCCACACGATAGCACCAACGGCCTCGCTCCACTACTCTCACCATGTTCTAGTGGAACATTCATTCTCATTTTGCACATTTGGTGAGTAGATACACCGAGCATGCGCGCTGCACAGGAAGAGCGCAATATGACTGATCATAAACGTGGGTGACATATACACCACGTCATTGAAACCGAGGGAAGCCTTGATTACGGTGTATTAATCATCATATAGAAAAATTACCGTGTAGAGGTTGCCGTACATAAATTACCATACATAAAAATCATCGTCAATAAATTATTACCATACATAAGAAGACCGGTTAAGATGGATTATCACTTCCAGTGTAATCAGTTGGAGGATTATGCAGACTGTAGAGGGTTCAGCCTCGTGATGAGTCGGTGAAACTCGTTTGTTTTCCTCGTCTCCCTCTCTGCCTACGGTTTACCGGGCAGCTCTGTTTGACGATATACATACACATAAATAAGCAAAACCATTCTGATTCCATCACAAATTGCAAGGCACGAGCAACACGCTCGTAAACATCGGGAAGACGAGGACCGTTCTCACAGTTATAGACACCCTCACAGATGAGAAGTGCCATTTCAAGCAGAATATCACCAATGTGTCGGATCGGAAGGCGGAAATAAACGAAGGTTGGTACAGTTTTTTCCAACAGATTACAGAGGATTTGCCATTCTCAGTACTTGAGAAGACATTTTAATTTTGTTCTAAAACATCTACCGCGATAAATGATTGCGATTTACTCGGCGCATACCCACACCAGACCCTTATTCCACGAGTACGAGAGTATGGACGTCAACGTAAAATGCGATCCATAGGTCCACTCGCCCAGTTCTTGGGCGTGCATCTTATGTTCCACGAGTACNCGCCCAGTTCTTGGGCGTGCATCTTATGTTCCACGAGTACGAGAGTATGGACGTCAACGTAAAATGCGATCCATAGGTCCACTCGCCCAGTTCTTAGGCGTGCATCTTATGGCTCTCAATAACCCGCCGATGACGGATTTTCACCACGGCTAATGATGATGGTTATTTACTAGGCTTCCTTGTGGCGACACTCACAGAGAACGCCCAGGAGTTTTACAGAGGAAAGCTCTGTCTACACTCTGGCAGCAGAGTTAGGGGGGAAAATAAGGGTATTGGCAGAATTGAGGAGAAACCGAAGCGCGGGCGCCACTGGCAGAAATGGGAAGAAACCAAAGCGGGACCCAGACTACGATAAAACCGGTGATCCTCGCAGCTCGTGGAAAATGCCAACATAACTGCAGGCGGAGGATGACTGTTATTCTTTGCGTATGGAGACTGAACCCCGCTACAGCATCAGACTGAAGATCCTGAAGTCGTAGATGCAGTTTTAAGCCAGATCCTGACATTGTAGGTACAGCGTCAGTTAGATCCTCGTGCTGGAGATACAGCATCAGTTAGGAGCAGCCCTAGGGCTCATATCAGCCAGCGGAAAGCATGCCTTAATCAATGGAAGTAGATACCCGACCCAGAATAACACATAAATTTTCAACCGTTCCTGCTCTCAACCGATCCGGCCACTCATCGCCCGCATATCTCCACTCATCGCCCGCATATCTCCCTCTTCCTACAAAAACTAAGTCCAGAACCTCAACCACCATTCTATAAGCGCCTCTCTCTCTCTCTCTCTCTCTCTCTCTCTCTCTCTCTCTCTCTCTCTCTCTCTCTCTCTCTCTCTCTCTCTCTCACGCACACACACACCCATATTTCCCCCGGCTCCGCCCCCACTCTGCCACCCACGACCACAACCTGCACACAAACATACTTTCCGCCCAGCTCTGCCCCCGCTCTGCCACACACACATATTTCCCCCGGCTCCGTCCCCACTCTGCCACCCACGAGGACAACGTGCACACAAACATACTTTCCCCCCGGCTCCGCCCCCACTATGCCACCCACCACGACATCATGTACAATTACTCAGCAGACTCTCTCTCTCTCTCTCTCTCTCTCTCTCTCTCTCTCTCTCTCTCTCTCTCTGTGTGTGTGTGTGTGTGTGTGTGTGTGTGTATGTGTGTGTTTCTGCGCTTGCCCCGCCCCTTCTTTTTGATGCGTGCGTAGTTACACGCACAAGCCCGCGGAAAGCGCAGATAGCAATAAAGGATCCAGGAGTGCAAGCTTAGCTCGTTTGAGGACCTCCTGAGGGACAGGAAGATGCATCCTGCTGTCAGGTCTGCATCGTGAGCAGCAGTCCCGTCACTACTGAATGGTCTGAAAAAGATCGGATCGTCCCTGTTGCTGAGAGCACAAACAAACAGTTGCAAGCTCTGCCATTAGGAGAGAATTTGCAAAACGAAATGGTGGACGAAATTATAGCTCCAGTAGCAGGAAGAGACTGCTTGACAGCATCCACAGGCAGAGAACACTTGATATAATCATCCTGCTTCCGTGCATATCGCGAGGAAATAAATCTGCAGCGCCAGCCGAAAGCTCGAAAATGTTCATCAAATAGAGTACTTCGGCGTAGCTACTTACACGCACGACATACTCTGTAAACATACCAGCACATTAACAGAGCCTAACGAGAGATGACGACGAACCGTGCGGAGGGGGATGCCAAGAGAGAAGAAGCACAGTGAGGACACATGTGGAAAGAAAGGAGGCTCGAACAGACGAGCGAGTTGTCAAGAGCACCGATCCCGAAAAGGCAAGGCTCGACCTAGGAGAAGAGGGTGTGGAAAGGGAGCGCGCAAACAAACGGGCAAAGACAGGTGAAAACGGACAAAAAAGAGTGAAAACGGACAAACACGACGGAAATGGATGAAAGAGGAGAGAGGTAAGGAGAGGGCGGACAGAAGGGGCACTTACAGCAACTACGTCGTCCACATTCAGAGTAAAATCATCCCCCCATCTGAAAACTTTGCCTTTCAATTGACCTATTTTGTCATCCGCCGGAGTTGCTCTCTTTTTCTTTCTGGATTGTCGACCGGACCCCGATGACTCCAAGCGAAGAGCACCGACACAAACAGCATCCCCCAAGAGTTCAGAGCGATCCTCCTCAGGGATATGAACCTTAACTTCGTCGTGAATAACGCCCTTGTCCTGCACCACCTCCCCTTGCTCCTCGCCTTCCTCGCCATCCTCCTCCTCATCTCCTTTCCTTCCTCCCGCCCCTCTGCCACTGTCCGCATTCACCGCGCGCGGCACAGCCGTGTATCCCGACCTGGAGAATCCTACAGCGCCTAATCTAGGACCCAGAGGCAACGGAGACGGTGCCGCAAAGAGAGGAGAAGGCAGATCGTCCCCGGAAGCGGCGATCGACATAGACGCGGACCCGATCCCGGCATCCATCCTCGCCGGAAGACTGTGTTGTGAAGATGATCCCATGGGAATAACGCGTTGGGATACCGATTGGCACATCCCTCGCCACCCCCCGGCGCCGCTGCCGCTGCGTGTCGGCCTGCGCACCTCACACGTCACCGCACCATCTTGGCTGTTTTTCCTACTTCTACCTCCCGCGAGATAGCCCCGCCCTACAAGCTCGACGAGGTGTTGCTGTCGCGATGGCGCGTACTTCTCCGATGCCGAACTCGATTTCGATTTCGATTTCGATTCCGATTTCGATTTTGATTTCGATCTCAGCCGAAACAAAAAGGGCGCGAGCGACGCATATATGGCGGATGTGGGAGCAGCTGCTCCACCTGATGCTGCTTTACAAGCACTAGCCCCGCCCACGTTGCAGTAGAAAGCCCTTTTTGGTTCGCTGGTCGAGGAGTTCCCTTTGCTAGCCGCCCATGATCGATATAGATTGGTAGGCGTTATGTGGTATGGAAAACATGTGTCGTCAAGGGAATGGTGGTTAACAGCGAACGCCGTAGTTGCCAGACGGCGTGGGTTGATGAAACTTTTGGGGAGCTGAAATTCCAGCCCCGGCAAGATAGCAACCGTGCCCACCGCTCCACGGCGCTCTCCTTCTCTTTCTCCTCCGCTTCCGCCTTCACCCCACGCTCCGCGGTCACTTCCTTGTGCCTTTTCGTCGCTAATCGTGGCCGTCGCCACAGAAAACCGGGCGGGTCTATGTGCTGGTCCTCTCTTCCGAGCGGGGTTCCTGCCCTGCAGTGAAACGTAGGCACCCCGCTTCGTTTCGAAAGGGGGCGCACAGCAGCAAGAACCTTGTGCTTGGAAAGAAGTGCCGAAACAAAAAGCAGGAAGGAGTCCAAAGAAGGTAGCAGGGAAAGGGAGGCGGAACGGGCACGCATGGACGGTGCGCGGTGCGATGAAGGCTGCCACGACCAAGACTGCTTGCGCAACAATCAAGAATAGCGACAACAGCAACCAACGTCAGGCCGAAAACAGAAACAGCAAGTGTTGGTAAGTTACATCACTGCTACAGTAGGGCAGAAGCAGATCTATGCCTAACCACTTCGCTCCTAATGATCAGAACTCTATCCTAATTCGGCATGATGCTTATGACCCCTCTTTCCGTTCGTTTTCGGGACACAAATCACACCTGGAACGCTTTATTTGACAAGATTTGGGGCCTCGCTGCACTACTCATGACTCGTGAAAAATTGCAAGAGTGCTTCACGAGTTGTCAGAGACCGAAAAGGGGCTAGAGCTCGGGCGTCGCTGCACTTAGGGCCTCGCTGCACTACTCTTGAAAGGTGCAAAACGAGAGTGAATCTTCCGCTAGAACATGGAAAGATACAGCGACATGATTTTTGTCTTTCGTGCATTTCAAGAGTAGTGCAGCGAGGCCCTTACTCTAGCACATGGGTACTCGTGAAGCACTCTTGAAACGCGCAAGAGTTGTGCATGAGTAGTGCAGCGACGCCCGTCACTCTTGGCGGGACCGGCCAGTACCAGCGTCTTCAGAGTCCGGTGCGGACTGGTATCCTGCGCCGATTTTGCTCTCTGCGACCGTCCTCCCGCAGCTTTCCGCCGGGCGCGTTCCGCACAGGCCTGTTTATCCCGATGGCCTCTATCGGACCGTTCGTGTGTGCCCTACCTGGTGGCGCGCAGCAAGAACGCGGGGAACGCCGGTCTGCCTGCTTGCGCGGAGGGGAAGGTGCGCCCCTCCGCAGTGTTAAAAAACCACGAGTCCTCACTAGTGCCGCCAAGTGACGGGCGGTTCAGCGGCGAACCCGCGATCAACCAGTGTGGACACGATTGCTCAGTCCGCCCCCAGATCTTCGTGTTCGGCCATCACCCGAGAGAGAGAGAGAGAGAGAGAGAGAGAGAGAGAGAGACTCATGCAGATGCGGTTCGGTGAAACAACACATTGGAACCAAATTGGATCTCAATAATTATAATGAAGTGACATATGCATAAGAATGTTAGTAATAATACGATAATAAAAAATATGCCCCAGTGTCGAGCGACGAGCACCAGAGCAATTGTGGAACACGAACAATACACCGAGGAACCCAAATCGTCTTCGAAATGCGACTTAAAAAAATCAATCAAAGAACAGTATTGGCAAAAAAAAACAACAACAGGGAAACCGAAGTTATCTGGCACACAGATAACGTGGGTCGGATAATCGGTCGACCAAAACCGTTGCTCTCTTGAGCATCTGATGCTCAAGAGAGCAAAATCACGAATTCCTGAGACATGTTGATCCTTGTTTCCGGTCCCTATTGCGCAGACGGTGGTGGACCTTGCCTTGTTGGAGTGTCGCAGTGAGCGTGGCGATGGTGCTGCAAAGATTGGTATTGTTAGCCTTGAGGACGTCCGTCACGCTCATCATCATATCACGGAACTCGCTGTCTGCCCGTGCACGATCGGCAGACTGCAATCTCGCTGCCTCGCGTGTTGCTTCGCGGACAGCTTCGGCCTGCTGGTTGCCGTGGTCGCCGATCATCTCCCTCGCCTCCGCCATCACTCCCGCACACCCGCTCGCGCCGCCGAGGCAACAGATTGCGCTCCACCGCCATCATCGCCAGGACTGCCTGAACCTGCACCATGGAGGTCATCTTCAATCGGGTTCCCCGAATCCATCAGATTCGTAGACACCGCTGAAGGATCGTCGTGCCAGTATTGGTCCATGACCTTGTATACTGCTTCCCTGATAAACACGTGCACCTTCTTCTCAATCCGCTCTTTCGTCGACATCTCCAAGAAGTTCTTCAATCCCGACACATGCCTGTTGTGGAAGGACACGCGGTTGTATGCGGACTTCAAATTCTCCCACTTGCGTTTCACGTCCTCCAACTTCTTGATAATTCCCTTCCCCCGCAGCCGCTCCAGAATATCCCCCCACTTTGCTTCCCTTGATTTCATCTTCCCGCTAGCCCTGTAGCGGACCTCGGGTTGGCCTGTGAGACCAGCCCCTTGGCCTGTTCTCACAGGCCTGTGTTATATTCGGGGTAGGCCAGTCCAGGCCGGTACCTCTGTCGGTACCAGCCAGTCTAGTCCAGTCCCGTCAGTCCGCTGGGGTATACCCCAGCCATTGTCTGTTTTCAGTCTCATTCCTTACTTGCACATTTTGGAGTACGTGCGTTGGAGTCTTGCGTGGGGAGCTGCGTTGTGCCATCTTGCTCCCCCCTTCTTCCTCCATCTCCATCTCTGTCACTAGCGGAGCACCACACCTGGTGGGTCCGCTACATTGGTATCGGAGCGGGAACGGTCCCCGCCCCCACCCACCACACCGCACAGCAGCGAAATACTGCAAAACCCGACAGTCGGGGTTTTGGCTGTTTTTGGGGCGTTTTCGGGCAAAAAAAGCGGGAAAAGGTGCTGCAGCAGGAGAGGTCCACGTGGCGAAAAAGGAAGCTGCATCACGACACGTGCGCGCAAGCGCCAAGGCCAAGGCCGCCGCACGCGCGCGCAGGCCACGCGCCCACGCTGCCCCGCTGCCCCGCCCCGCCCCGCTCCCGGATTTATATTATCAAGATCCGGGATGCAACTGCTGCTGTTGGGGTTTGAACCCAGGCACTCGTGTTGAAGAGGTGCTGTGCTGGCTATTTACCCCCCCCCCC